GTTAATGTAGTATATTTTATTAAAATTAAATAATTTGTAATAATGATGTTTAATATGTCAGTTTAGAAGAGAGCTAAAGGATGTTATAGAATTGTTAATTTAAGGATAATATAATTTAAGACAGAATATAATTATTGTATTGTAAACCCTGTGTGTAGCTCTGGGAAGTCGGGGGGAAGGGAGAGGGGTGGGGAAGGGTAGGGTGTGAGGGAGGTGGGGAGTTATATTGTAAAAATTTTAAAAATTTTCAATAAAAAAAAAATAAAAAAAGAAAAAAGAAAATGTTGGGAGGAATGGATTGAAGAGAGGCTTCAGTTATGGTGGGCTTCGTACCTTTGGTAATTGTTTCTCCCTGGTTCAACTGAGCAAATAAGTCCGAACGAGCAGCAGTTGTGTCATCTTTTGCATATTCTGTATCGATGGGAGGCAGAGGTCCCGGTGGCGGAGGTGGCGGTGGAGGTGGCGGCGGGGGAGGGAGGCCTTGTTTGTTCACTAGAGCTGGCAAACCTGATGCTGCTGAGGCTACTGGACCCTAATTATTTTTTTTTAAGTAAAGAGATGAAGTTTCTGTAAAGTGCAATTTTAGTCCAATATTGTAAAAATAACCACATGAACAGTCCAGCTAGTAGACAAAAAAGATGCAATATTTCTCTATAAAAGCCATACAGGTAGTCCTCGATTTACAACAGTTCATTTAATGACTGTTCAAAGTTACAACAGCACTGAAAAAAATTGACTTATGACCATTTTTCACACTTACAACCATTGCAGCATCCCCAGGATCATATGATCAAATGCCTGGCAGTTGACTCATATTTATGACACTTGCAGTGTCCAGGGGGTCACGTGATCCCCTTTTGTGACTTTCTGACAAGCAAAGTCAATGGGGAAGCCAGATTCACCTCATAACCGTGTCACTAACTTAACAACTAGTGATTCACTTAACAACTGTGGCCAGAACGGTCGTAAAATGGGGAAAAATTCACTTAACAAATGTCTCACTTAAAACAGAAATTTTGGGCTCAATTGTGGTTGCAACTTGAGGACTACCTTTACTCATCGGCTATTTCACCTGGTAACTAGGCTTCCATTGCAGCAAGGATGCTTGAAAACAGGTGGTGTAAAATTTGTGCTTTATAAAGACAACACCAGTATACATTTACAGAAGAAACACCTTAACAAAAGATCTATGTCTCTGTGCCACAGTCCACCTGCTCTAGTAGGTTGTTATATGATCTTCTGAGCTTCACATTTTCTTTTATCTCTCTCTCTCTTTCTCTCTCTGTGTGTATACATATACATATATGTGTATGTGTGTATATATGAACAAAACAATATATGCCTGTAATTATATGAAGCATATAAAAGGATTAGAGCCTTTTTTACCGACAGAATGCGATTTTATTCTTTCAGAATTTTAGTAACTAGTTGCTTTGGGAAATGGATGTTAAGTTAAAACATAAACATTACCTTTTTTCAGATGGTGTCATATACTAGTTGAGAAGATATATATTCATGAACAAGTACATTAAAGACAAACTTAGGAATCTTGGAATAAACACCTACAAATTAATCTGGTTTAAGGCAGGCACAACTAATATCCTTAAGAAATACATACAAATACCTGCCCAAGAAAGGGCTAGGGTTTGTAAAAATACTAGGGGGTAGGCAAGATACACATAGTTCACAGAGGCTCAAACATTTTGTGTATTTCTTTATTTTTGGATTCTGATCTGCCTATTTTAGAAGTTATAATGTCATTTTCATGTTTCCCACCTCAAAAGGATAGGAAACTGCTATCAGTTTCCATCTCTAGTCTGATCAGAGGAAGCTCCAAGAGAACCAAAAATGCTGTGCTTCACATTCAAGCACCAGGGTGCTTCCGGGTTGAAAGTATTAGCCGGTGACCTGGCCATTGCCCCGGGGGCACCTGGTTGGGGGCTTCTTTCATGTCCCTATTGTGCCCACTGAAGTGGTATCTATTTATCTACTTACGTTTGCACGCTTTCAAACTAGAAAGCGGGCAAGAGCTGGAACAAATGACAGGAACTCACCCTGTTACAAAATAGCCCTGGGGTCTATAACTTGAGTTTGCTGTTTGTCAATCTAGCATTCTAACCACGTGTCCCACCACACTCCTCAAGGGCTGTGCTAAGCAATAACATTGGAAGGTTTTGACTAAAAACAATACATGAACTCAGCCATGAGATTTATTAAGCATAGATTATGGTTTTGCATTATATGTGTATCAGGCCACTCTGTCTTGTTCAAAAACCACAAATCAAAGGAAGTCATGGCTTATTGCAAAAGGCATTAACAAATTACCTAGTGACCTTTATGGTTATTTGTTTGTTTAATTGATCTGTGTGCATCCCATCTTGTCTAGAATACATCTTCAGCAATATAGCACATTTGCCAGTTGAGTATTAATGACCCAATGAAATTGGCTATTATGTTATGGGCTATGTATGAAAATTGACAAACACCTCATTGCTCACAACCTCTGCTTGAAAAATTGTTACCATTATATATCAACAACCATCTGTGAAACATGCTAAAGCTGGAAGCTGTAATTAAAAATGTAATGGCTTAGCCAAAACCAAACATCCCTCATTATAGCATAATAGCATAGCCATTCAGTCATTGTGTGAGTGTTATTAGTCAGTTATCTGCAAATTGTACTTCTGCCCTAGTTTTTAAACATAATCTTTAGTGGGAGAAGAACAAAATTAAGAAGTCCCACACTCTTTATCTTCTCCATTTACAAGTTCCAAGTGAATCCCAGAGACAAGCTTTTTAGTTCCTGCTGTCATTCATGAAACACTAAGATTAGATTATTACTATAACTTCCATTTAACATCTGATATTCATCCATTTTACATAACTGTTTCCCTGACAGTTAATGTGCAAATGATATGTAGTAACTTCAATAAATATTTTGGCACAAGTATTGCCATATATTAGCTGGCACAATGTATTGTCACACATTGCCTAACCATTTGAAATAATGGACAATAACAAAAGAGAACAGCTGTCCCCCAAAGAGGCAGCTGACATAAACCTAGGAGACAGACATTGTAAACATTTGTGCTAAATAGTTTTTTTAAGCTGTTTATAAAGATATATTGTTAAAACATCTGCTCAGATTTAATCTAATGAATTGCTAGCTTTAAGGCAAGGTCAAGTCTTCAGAACCTGTAACATGTCTGGGGAATTATAATTTTACAGAAGCCGTAAGCGGAACTCTGTGCATTAAAATACATAGAAAAGGTGATTTAAGTAATTTTAAAAACCAAATTAGGTAAAACTGCAAAAGAATGCATGAACCAATTGAAAAAAAAGTATCGATCAATCAATGTTGTTGGGTTGGTTGGGACATATATATCTTTGTGGTCATTAAATGTTTAAAATGTAGATTCAAATGTACAGATAGTCTTTGGGGTACAACCAGTCATTCAGCAACTGCTCAAAGTTACAACAGTGCTGAACTAGGGCACTTACAATGGTTCCTCGGAGTTCTGGTCACTGCAGTCTCCCCACAATCATGATTGTGATCAAGGTGTTTGGCACCCAGCTTACAATTATGACATCACAGTGAGCTACAGTCACATGACTGCAATTTCTAATGATCCCTGCTGGAGAGCAAAGTCAATAAGGAAGCTGGCAGGAAGTCAGATGTAATCAGAATACAGAATAACAGAGTTGGAAGGGACCTTGTAGGTCATTTAGTCCAACCCCCTGCTCAAGCAGGGACCCTATTCCATTTCTGACAAGTGGCTGTTCAGTCTCTTCTTGAAAGTCTCCAGTGAGGGAGCACCCACAACTTCTGAAGGCAAGCTGTTCCATTGGTTGAGTGTTCTCACGGTCAGAAAATTTCTCCTCATTTCTAGGTTGAATCTCTCCTTGATCAGTTTCCACCCTTGTTCCTTGTTTAGCCTTTGGGTGCTTTGGAAAATAGGTTGTCACCCGCCTCTCTGTGACAGCCCCTCAAATATTAGAAAACTGCTATCATATCACCCCTAGTCCTTCTTTTCAGTTCTTGCAACTGTTTTTNTATTATTCATGTACTGTATGAGATAAATTAGCATATATTTGAATCCATCTATCTGTAGAAAATTCATTTGATTTTATTATCAAATTTAAAAATATGGCAGAGCTTAAGGTATCTCAGAAAGTAAGGAGTAACCTTAAGCAACAGTCTCCTGGGATAATTCATGGTGCAAGAGGTACTCTCAGCCTTTAAATGTTAGTTTCTAGTTGATAGCAATATGTTTCGCTGATATGAAGGCAAAGCATATGTCTGAACCAAAATCATGAGACCGGCTCTCCAGATGTTTTCATCTCCCAGCACCTTCATGTTATTGCCCAAAGCTGTTGGAAGATGCTAACAACTGGAGGACCATAGCTTCTTTGTCCCAACCTGAGCTATTTATTTTTCAGCGCTCTTATTGACCTGACTGTCCTCTACATCATAGCCAATTTATTTATTTATTTTTAAAAAATTATATAGCTGCCCATCTTTTAATCAACTCTGGGCAGGTCCCAATTAATACTCTTATTTATCTGACTTTTCTCAAGCACAAATGTGGACATTTACATCTCAGTAAATCCCAAGTATAGGCAGTATGTGATGTACAACTAAACCCATGTCCAAACAATCATAAACGTGGTTGTAGTAATTAAAATAGGACAAACAATTCAAAATGGGCTTGCAATATGCCCCAGAAATAAAACACGAATGTAGACTTCTAAGGGAAAAATGGTGAACTGGAGAAGGCTCAGTTAAAAGTGGAGAATAAAAAACCGACAGAATAAAGAACCAGTGAGTAGATCAGCTATTCATAATTCCTCTCTGGACAAGGAAAGGACTTGAGATTGCCCACAAGTGCTCCAAACACTTGTTCTTTATGAGCAGGTTGCGAGACAGCAGTCCCAGTCTTAAACGCTGGGAGACAAGGGAGCAGCAGTGCCTTTAAGGGTACTGAGTTCACATGCTTCTTTTTCTAATCCCTTTCAGAAATTGTTTATTAACTGCTTTTCAGCTATTAGGTATGCTTGAGTCAACAAGGTTGAAAACACCAAGTGAGTTTCCTCCAACCCTTAGTGATTTTTTTTAAAAAATACAACATAATACAATTGTATTAAATAAAATACAGTACAAAACCAAATACAGTTTGGATTTTAATTTTTTTTCTTTTGAAATAAACAGCAAAGGGGTGATTAGAACGTTGATTTTGGCATTCCATGCTCCACTAACAACCTGTGCTTCACAAACCAACCTACACATTTGCTTAATGACTGCTACATGGAGAGCAGGGATTGTGGTTGTTAAATGAGGCAATCACATATGCACCTTGCTTAATCAGCATAACCCTCAACATTAATTTCTGGTCCTTTGTTCAAGAATATGTCGAATGTTAAAAAATGTTAAAAATATTTTATTCCAGTAAGTCAAATTTAATTGTTCTTATCCTTTAGTTATAATCTTTAGTTCCCTGTATTTCCTCTAGTGTTCAACCTTCTAATTCCATCCTATCATTTTTTTAAAAAAAAAAAGAATTCAAAACAAAAGCATTTTCCCATGGGAAGGATTCTAATATAATTAATTTCAAAGTCCATTTCAAATCCAGCTGGAACCTTAGTCTGTTTGTAACTTTCCAAAATCAATACTCTAAACATCTTTTTGCTGTTTATTCCAAAAAATCGTTTTTCTTAAACTCATACTTAAAACTTCTTTTACCAAGGAGAAGGAGACTCACTCAGTGGATGCAATAAAACATTACTGTTCCAAAAGTTCTTAATATCTGGTAAGCAGTAAAAATATATATATCAAAAAGTGATTAAGAAATGAGGTTTGGTTGAGCTTTGTGTCCACACAGGCTACATCAGACTGTGAGCTTAGATGGATTCCCTTGACTCCCAGCTGCTCGCATAAGCCAGCCGCTAAAACTTGGGTTCCTGAGGTCTACTCACAAGAAGGAGCTGTCTGGAGTACATATGGGCAATCTCACAATCTCAAATTTCCCTGGAAGGTTTCGCCGGCCATGATCCAGCATCTGGCTGCCCATCTCCATCATAAATGCCGTCCCCGCTCCTTCAGGGATGTTCAACTCACCATATCTTCACCAGAAGCGTCTGCAGTGTCAGATTTCCAAGTTAAGCATTTTTTAGCATAAAGGAGTTTGCATTCGTAGAAAGCGAGGGCTTTTAACTTTTATAAGAAAATGTTGGGAGGAATGGATTGAAGAGAGAGGCTTAAGTTATGGTGGGCTTCGTACCTTTGGTAATTGTTTCTCCCTGGTTCAACTGAGCAAATAAGTCCGAACGAGCAGCAGTTGCGTCATCTTTTGCACATTCTGTATCGATGGGAGGCAGAGGTCCCGGTGGCGGAGGTGGCGGTGGAGGTGGCGGCGGGGGAGGGAGGCCTTGTTTGTTTACTAGAGCTGGCAAACCTGATGCTGCTGAGGCTACTGGACCCTAATTATTATTTTTTTTAAAGTAAAGAGATGAAGTTTCTGTAATGTGCAATTTTAGTCCAATATTGTAAAACTAACCACATGAACAGTCCAGCTAATAGACGAAAAAGATGCGATATTTCTCTATAAAAGCCATACAGGTACTCCTCGATTTACAACAGTTCATTTAGTGACTGTTCGAAGTTATAACAGCACTGAAAAAAGTTGACTTATGACCATTTTTCACACTTACAACCGTTGCAGCATCCCCATGATCATACGATCAAATGCCTGGCAGTTGACTCATATTTATGACACTTGCAGTGTCCAGGGGGTCACGTGATCCCCTTTTGTGAGTTTCTGAGAAGCAAAGTCAATGGGGAAGCCAGATTCACCTCATAACTGTGTCACTAACTTAACAACTAGTGATTCACTTAACAACTGTGGCAAGAACGGTCGTAAAATGGGGCAAAATTCACTTAACAAATGTCTCACTTAAAACAGAAATTTTGGGCTCAATTGTGGTTGCAACTTGAGGACTACCTTTACTCATCGGCTATTTCACCTGGTAACTAGGCTTCCATTGCAGCAAGGATGCTTGAAAACAGGTGGTGTAAAACTTGTGCTTTATAAAGACAACACTAGTATACATTTACAGAAGAAACACCTTAACAAAAGATCTATGTCTCTGTGCCACAGTCCACCTGCTCTAGTAGGTTGTTATATGATCTTCTGAGCTTTACATTTTCTTTTTTATCTCTCTCTCTCTCTCTCTCTCTCTCTCTCTCTCTCTCTCTGTGTGTGTGTGTGTGTGTGTATACATATACATATATGTGTGTGTGTGTGTATGTGTGTATGAACAAAACAATATATGACTCTGTAATTATATGAAGCATATATAAGGATTAGAGCCTTTTTTACCGACAGAATGCGATTTTATTCTTTCAGAATTTTAGTAACTAGTTGCTTTGGGAAATGGATGTTCAGTTAAAACATAAACATTACCTTTTTTCAGATGGTGTCATATACTAGTTGAGAAGATATATATTCATGAACAAGTACATTAAAGACAAACTTAGGAATCTTGGAATAAACACCTACAAATTAATCTGGTTTAAGGCAGGCACAACTAATATCCTTAAGAAATACATACAAATATCTGCCCAAGAAAGGGCTAGGGTTTGTAAAAATACTAGGGGGTAGGCAAGATACACATAGTTCACAGAGGCTCAAACATTTTGTGTATTTCTTTATTTTTGGATTCTGATCTGCCTATTTTAGAAGTTATAATGTCATTTTCATCTTTCCCACCTCAAAAGGATAGGAAACTGCTATCAGTTTCCATCTCTAGTCTGATCAGAGGAAGCTCCAAGAGAACCAAAAATGCTGTGCTTCACATTCAAGCACCAGGGTGCTTCCGGGTTGAAAGTATTAGCCGGTGACCTGGCCATTGCCCCGGGGGCACCTGGTTGGGGGCTTCTTTCATGTCCCTATTGTGCCCACTGAAGTGGTATCTATTTATTTACTCACGTTTGCACGCTTTCAAACTAGAAAGCGGGCAAGAGCTGGAACAAATGACAGGAACTCACCTCGTTACACAGCAGCCCTGGGGTCTAGAACTCGAGCTTGCTGTTTGTCAATCTAGCGTTCTAACCACGTGTCCCACCACACTCCTCAAGGGCTGTGCTAAGCAATAACATTGGAAGGTTTTAACTAAAAACAATACATGAACTCAGCCATGAGATTTATTAAGCATAGATTGTGGTTTTGCATTATATGTGTATCAGGCCACTCTGTCTTGTTCAAAAACCACAAATCAAAGGAAGTCATGGCTTATTGCAAAAGGCATTAACAAATTACCTAGTGACCTTTATGGTTATTTGCTTGTTTAATTGATCTGTGTGCCTCCCATCTTGTCTAGAATACATGGTAAGCAATATAGCACATTTGCCAGTTTAGTATTAATGACCCAATGAAATTGGCCATTATGTTATGGGCTGTGTATGAAAATTGACAAACACCTCATTGCTCACAACCTCTGCTTGAAAAATTGTTACCATTATATATCAACAACCATCTGTGAAACATTGCTAAAGCTGGAAGCTGTAATTAAAAATGCAATGGCTTAGTCAAAACCAAACATCCCTCATTATAGCATAATAGCATAGCCATTCAGTCATTGAGTGAGTGTTATTAATCAGTTATCTGCAAATTGTACTTCTGCCCTAGTTTTTAAACATGATCTTTAGTGGGAGAAGAACAAAATTAAGAAGTCCCACACTCTTTATCTTCTCCATTTACAAGTTCCAAGTGAATCCCAGACACAAGCTTTTTAGTTCCTGCTGTCATTCATGAAACACTAAGATTAGATTATTACTATAACTTCCATTTAACATTTGATATTCATCCATTTGACATAACTGTTTCCCTGACAGTTAATGAGAAAATGATATGTAGCAACTTCCAATAAATATTTTGGCACAAGTATTGTCATATATTAGTTGGCACAATGTATTGTCATACATTGCCTAACCATTTGAAATAATGGACAATAACAAAAGAGAACAGCTGTCCCCCAAGGAGGCAGCTGACATAAACCTAGGAGACAGACATTGTAAACATTTGTGCTAAATAGTTTTTTTAAGCTGTTTATAAAGATATATTGTTAAAACATCTGCTCAGATTTAATCTAATGAATTGCTAGCTTTAAGGCAAGGTCAAGTCTTCAGAACCTGTAACATGTCTGGGGAATTATGATTTTACAGGAGCCGTAAGCGGAACTCTGTGCATTAAAATACATAGAAAAGGCGATTTAAGTAATTTTAAAAACCAAATTAGGTAAAACTGCAAAAGAATGCATGAACCAATTGAAAAAAAAGTATCAATCAATCAATGTTGTTGGGTTGGTTGGGACATATGTATCTTTGTGGTCATTAAATGTTTAAAATGTAGATTCAAATGTACAGATAGTCTTTGGGGTACAACCAGTCATTCAGCAACTGCTCAAAGTTACAACAGTGCTGAACTAGGGCACTTACAATGGTTCCTCGGAGTTCTGGTCACTGCAGTCTCCCCACAATCACATGATTGTGTTCAAGGTGTTTGGCACCCAGCTCACAATTATGACATCACAGTGAGCTACAGTCACATGACTGCAATTTCTAATGATCCCTGCTGGAGAGCAAAGTCAATAAGGAAGCTGGCAGGAAGTCAGATGTGATCAGAATACAGAATAACAGAGTTGGAAGGTACCTTGTAGGTCATTTAGTCCAACCCCCTGCTCAAGCAGGGACCCTATTCCATTTCTGACAAGTGGCTGTTTAGTCTCTTCTTGAAAGCCTCCAGTGAGGGAGCACCCACAACTTCTGAAGGCAAGCTGTTCCATTGGTTGATTGTTCTCACGGTCAGAAAATTTCTCCTCATTTCTAGGTTGAATCTCTCCTTGATCAGTTTCCACCCTTGTTCCTTGTTTAGCCTTTGGGTGCTTTGGAAAATAGGTTGTCACCCGCCTCTCTGTGACAGCCCCTCAAATATTAGAAAACTGCTATCATATCACCCCTAGTCCTTCTTTTCAGTTCTTGCAACTGTTTTTCCTATGTTTTAGCCTGTCCTTTGTTTAACAATGGCAAGCAGGGCTGACGTAACTGCCTTCGCTAAGTGATGTGGTCACATGAAGTTGCATGTTATAAGTGCAACTTAGCAACAGAATTCCTGGTCCCACTGCCATCATAACGTGAGGGCTACCTGTATATAATTTTCCTAATTTTCTTGGGAACAATCAGTTATGGAATCAAAGATGCTAAGAGATGGAACATTTAAAACCCTCTCCTAACTCTTTTATTTCATAAAGTTCTTTGTCCTGGAAATGTACCATTGCTGGGAACCAAAATGACATTTTTTTTCTCTTAGTTCAAGAACAATTTTCACCCCCCTCCAACACTAATTTGGGAACACTACTATACAATAATGTATTCTTTTTTCATAGTAGAAGGTAAGAAATAAAACACTCACAGTTTTACTCCAGATGAGCCCGGTAGTATGGTATTCTTTTATATATGCTTGAAGCTCTGTCCAAATATTCAGGAATGATTTCACCCAATCAACGTGACGCAAATCACTGTAACATAATAAAAGCTATCTGTTCATGTTCTTTAGTATCCCTTCTGACCTTCAAGTCAAGGAGAGAATTGCCACTGATGGTAATTTGTAATCACCTCAGATATACCAGCCAAGTAAAGTAGTTAAATTGTGTGATGAAGGTGGTGTTGGGGAGTATTAACTTACCTATGCTTGTAGTTTTTTAACACCCTATTAGTATAAAACGTAGCAGCATCATTCATCTCCTTTACATAAGGTCCTGGCTTAGCAGACTAAAAGAGAACACAGGGGCATTGTGTAAAACCACAGGAATCATTTTTGAGAAAGAAAAAGTAAATATAATCATGGGGAAACAACCTCCTTCCTATTTTAACCAATCGTTATTTCAAAGCAACATAGATACAATAAGGTTTGTGGAAGTCTATTCTGCTGACCTTGTTCTCTAAGAAAATTAAGGCCATTTCATGATACCTGGTGACTATTCAGGACTATGCTTTCAGTTTCCTTGGCAGCTATATGGAAGCAATATGGAATATTTGCCACTGCCTTGTTTAGGAATGCTTTCATGGCTTCACAGTTTAGACTACAGCCCTGGTGATCTCCCAGCCGTGTAGTAAACAGATCCAACCCTGCTTAGCTAAATGTTTCCACCCATCAACCCCACATGTTGAGGGATGAAGCCACATTCAACAAAGTGGGCTACTATGACTGAGGATGGGGAGGAAATCTTTAAAAGTGAGGTGGTGATATGATAGTACCACCTGCAAGCAATGAGGTCCGAAACAAGAGTCAAACCAGTCCAAGGTTGCATGATAGATAAGGGTGAGAAAATTGGTTTTGTCCACTTCTAAAATTCAGAACTTACTATTGTTATCCATCCAAGAGCTGGAATACTTTCACTGATAGCAGACAGATGGTTAAACATATTGCTTCCACGATTTCTCTCTCTGAACATCTGAATTTCCTGAATTTTTCCCGATATTGGTTTTAGAAGAATGGCAACTTCACTCTGCAGTAGTAATAAAATGAAGAAATCACACATGCATTCACAAACCAGTTTTCTTGTCATTATTGAAACTGAGATCTTCTCAAAATTTGTTTCTTACAGGAAGAATTGTCTTGTGAGGTAAAATGTGTTTCAGTCGTTATATATCTGGAAGCCTTCCTGCTCATTTTACCAAGAGGATTCATAAATATTTCTTTTCTAACGTTCTGCCCTGATAGCACCTAGTACAGGGGTAGGCAACCTTGGCTCTTTTATGACTCGTGGACTTCAACTCCCAGAATTCCTGAGCCAGCCATGTTGAAGTCCACGAGTCATAAAAGAGCCAAGGTTGCCTATCGCTGACCTAGTATTAAGAGTAGTCCAGAAGACATCAAAGACCCAGAAAACCCAATGTTGAGGATTACTATTATGGCTTGTAAAAAATTATCCTTTTTAGGAAAATAATTATGCATATTTAATAAGGAAAGACAGTCATTTTAAGTAATATTAAATGTCTATGATTCAAAAATTATCTCATTGCCAAAGCTATAAAAAATTATCTAGACCCATACAGGAAATTGCAAAAAACTCAAGAGTAAAAAAATAACCTAGCTGTAATATGTTTAATAGGAATTATCATAAATTATACAGGTCAGATCTCACATTTCTGGATGGCTAATTCTGTATCTATCTACCTTGATACAATTTTCAGAGCCGTATTTTTAAGCACTACATTACACAAACACTTTTTCCCCCTTGCCTCATATTTTATGTACAGTGAAACCATTTTCTCAATCTTTTGTAAAGTAGTTTTTCTAACGCGCATGGTTCTCATGGCAGTGAAAGAGGTGGAACGCATCATAGCACTGTGAAATTTTATTAGCATTCTTCAATTTTTGTGCAGAGCAGATTCACTCGGGTTTAAAAGCTTATCCCTGGGTGAAGATCCTCAACCAGCTTCAGCAGAGATTAATATTTTCTTCTTTGTTTCTAGTGCTGGAGAGGTCCTTTTGAATAGGAATGTTTGGCAACATATTTGACAGCTGTTTTGATCCCATAGTATAGTTGGTATGAAGAACCGTGGTGGTGCAGTGGTTAGAATGCAGTATTGCAGGCTAATTCTGCCAACTTCCAGCAGTTCGATTCTTACTCAAGGTTGACTCAGCCTTCCATCCTTCCGAGGTCGGTAAAATGAGGGTCCAGATTGTTGGGGACAATGTGCGGACTCTGTAAACCGCTTAGAGAGGGCTGTAAAAGCACTGTAAAGTGGTATATAAGTCTAAATGCTATTACTATTGCTATTACTATGGAACTAAACATGCACCACTAGAACAACAGCACAACCCAATAATAAATGCATAAGAGAAGATAGAAAAGGGGTTGGCTAGGAAAACGCAGGCAGTTTTGGGAAGTCTTGATATGTTTCTAGACCATTGGTGCAAATTAACTTTTTTATTTTGTGCTTTCAAGTCAGTTTTGACTCCTGGTGACTGCCTGGATTAGTCCCTGCAATTATTTTCTTGGCAAGATTTCAGAAGAAGTTTGCCATTGCCTCTTTCCTGTGGCTGCGAGACAGTGACTGGCTCAAGATCACCAAGTTGGCTTTGTGCCTATGATGGAAATAGAATTCATTGTCTCCTGGTTTCTAGCCCGATGCCTTAAACACTACATCAAATTGGCTCCCAATAACAAATGGACTATACTGGCATAAATCACATAATAGGGCTATTTTCCCTGCATTGTGATTTCTTGAATGGAAATGATCAATTGCATAACAGAAAATCGCATAAACAGAAATCATATAAAGTGAGGGAAACTATTTTAGTGGGAATTCTTTAGACATAATTACTTTAGTTTTAGTTTATTCTCCTTCCAAAATGTTTTTTAAAATAACTTTCCACTTCTTGTTTACTTAAAGGATAATTTACATTTGTTTTTAACATTGAAGCATTTGAAATAAATTCCAAATAAGTAAAAAAAAGTTTAAATCGCAGCTTTCTGAAGAGTAATTTTGCAGGCAGTAGCTACTAGCCAGCTAGTATACGTAAACTGTAGTATCAGATGATGGTTTTCTCATGTGACCATTTCCACTTCACATACAAATATAGAACATGACCATAAAAAGGAACAAAGCATTCACTCTGCTAAGTAATTTATTGTACTTGTTATAGGATTGACATGCCAGCTGGAATTATCTTCTTAGCTCTTGCTATTTTTGCATATGCAGGGAAATGACGGGCTTCAAGACGGAATAAAATGTAAGCACTGCTAGCAAAAACATATCTCAGAAAAATCACAATGAACAAACATTTCTTTGTGACTTGCTGGACATGGATGCTACATTTGAACTAGAGAATCCTATATGCTTCAGAATACTAATGGCTTTGTTTTCTGTTATTACTTTAGGATAAATTGTGCAAATCCCCCCCTTCTACAACATTGCTTTTGAATATTTGCAAAGCTGTGGAGACATGATCACCAACAGCTTATTCATCCACCGCTTCACAAACTGTCTGGAAAGCTCAATGGCACAATTGCTTGCTTTTTCAGGAGTTGCTGTCATCTTACTATGCTTTTCTCTGCCCTGGGAATTCTGATGAAAATTAATGCTCGTTCTACCTGTCTGGATTTTGCTTAAATTTGTGACTTCAGCTTAAAGTACAAACAGAAACAGATGCTGTCACATTAACAAAGTATTTTCTGTTATGTTCATATCAACTTTTCTTTATACTATAATCCGCTATTTCTAAATCTACAACACATATTTTTTTGCTTTTGACAAGATGAAACTATCATACCACTTGCAGTAAAAAATGCTACTGAAACAGCTGAACGTTCGTTACAGAATATTTATTTTGCATGACAGCTGTGTTTTACTTACACATATACAGCTGTGTTAATTTTACACTATGATATATATTTCAGCTTATCATAATAACAGGAAAAATGGTTTTTCTTTTACTTAGGAGGATTCACCATGTCCTTTATATTATTCAATGTGGCTAGAGGTTCTAAATGAATAATAGGTAAACTGGGGACCACAAGGAATTGTTAGGAGATCCAAAATTCTTGAGGATACCAAATTGTTTGATAATGTGCCATCCAGCTGGTGTCAATTCTTACTACGTAGATAATTTGAACCTGGTTATTTGCGCCGTGAGTGAAAACTCAAGGTTGATTTGTTCAATAAGTCATTTCTTTGTTTTCTTGGTTGACTAAGTTATTCTCAGGAGTCTTTTCCAACACTGAGGTTAAAAAATGTCTTCCTAACCTGCTTTTTCAAAGTCCAACTTACGCTCCCATAGGGAGTCACATAGAATGCCATTGCTTGCATTATTCTGATCTTTGTAGGTACACACACATCACAACTCCTGAATATATTCCTAGGGCCTTCATAACTGCTCTACTAAGTGCTAATCTATGGCTGATTGTTATATCTGCTGTTATTAGTTTTGTCTTCTTTATATACAATTTTAGCCCATTTTTTTCAGTGTGCTTTTTATTTTTATTACCAGAGCTTGCAGATGCTTTGTACTGTCAGCTATCACACTAGCAACAGCAATAGCACTTAGACTTATATACCGCTTCACAGTGTGGATCCTCATTTTACCAACCTCAGAAGGATGGAAGGCTGAGTCAACCTTGAGCCAGTGAGAATCAAACTGCCAAACTGCTGGCAGATAGCAGAATTAGTCTGCAATACTGCATTCTAACCATTGCGCCACCACGGTGTCACCAGCATAGCTCAGGTTATTCAATTTTCTTCCTCCAATTTTAAAACCACCCTCATCTTTTTTAAATTCATCTTTTCTTAATATATTCAGCACATAAACTGAATAAATAAGGGGAAAGTATACAGCCTTCTCACACTCAGTGGCCAATTTGAAGCCACTCTGTTCTGCCTTGGTCTGTCCATACTGTAGCTTTCTGAGCTATATATAACTGTTGCATAGGAGAATGAGAGGTTCTAGTATTCTTATTTTTCTAGATAGATTCCCTAGCTTAATATGACTGCATAATTAAAAGCGTTTCTATAATCAATGAAGCAGACAGTGATTTCTTTTGGGCATTCTTTAGCTTTCTAAATTATCCAGCATGTATCAGTGAACATCTGGCATCTCTTTTCCCGTGCAGGATTCTAATCTGTGTTGGATGATCCTAAGCATTATTTTGCCAGCACGTGAAATTAAGAATATTGTATCGTAGTTTGGAAGCTTGTACATGCTGTCAAATCTCCTTTTTGATACTGGAATGTAGATAGGTCTCTTCCGATCTGGTTTTCTCCAGATTTGCTGGTGTAGCTTAATTACAAACTTTAATTATTCTGTTTCTGTTTGCCATTTTCTGTGAGGGTGTTCTATTAATTCTTATAGCCTTCTGACTTGGTAAGGACTAGAGTGCTAATGTAACTTCATTTTCTAATGTTGTAGATTAATGTTAAGTATAGAGTATTTTCTACGGTATCTTGGATGTTGCATCTCTACTGTACAGTATTTCATTATACCAATTTCACTTTTTAGCAGTACTATAATCAATTTAATTTCGATGCACTAGTCTGTTGAGGTCCATGTGTAGAGGTGTTGTTTTGATGATTTGAAGTCAGTGTTATCTATGAATAAATCACTGTACTGGCAGAAATTTAAAAAGTTGCTCTCCTGCTTCATTTTGGTTTCCTAAATCTTACAACCCAACTCCATTTTCCTCCTTAAAATTTCCAGTCTCCAATCACAAACAGCACATCTTGCTTGCATGTTCTATCTAGAGCCCTTGTCATGGTCAGATCATGCTCTCCTTAGGATGGACTTCCGGACCGCTTCCCCCCGCCGCAGGGAGACGGAACCGCCTAGATGGTTCCGTCCCAGGCGCCTGATGGACCCGGAGAGGTTTCTGACGGAGCTTGGGCCATATCCGGAGGATCTAGGTCATGACTCGGCGGAAGATCAGGCTGCGGCCTGGAATGTGGCCGCAGCCGCAGCACTGGACCGAGTCGTGCCGTTGCGGCCTCTGACCCGACGTAGATCTCAACTAGCTCCTTGGTTCACTGAGGAGCTGAGAGAGATGAAACGCCGGAAAAGACGCCTAGAGAGCAGTTGGAGGACTACCCGAACCGAACCCGACCGAACACAGGTAAGGATACTTGTTAGATCCTACCTTGTGGCAATGAGGGTGGTGAGGTCTAATTACTACTCCACCCTCATTGCGTCATCAGATAATCGCCCAGCCACCCTCTTCAGGGTGACTTGCTCCCTCCTTCAACTGAGGGGGGGGAGGACCCCCTGGTGGGGAGGGCTGAGGATTTTGCACAATATCTGAATGACAAAGTCGCTCGGATCCGGGAGGGGTTGGACTCCGACTGGGTGGCCCCGGGGGAGATGGAGGGAGCAGGTCTTGAGACGATTATATGGGAGGAGTTTGACCCTGTGGCTCCTGAGGATGTGGACAGGATCCTGGGGAGGCTGAATGCAACCACATGTTTATTGGATCCGTGTCCCTCCTGGCTGGTACTGGCGGCTCGGGAGGGTACACGAGCCTGGCTCCAGGGAATTATAAACGCTTCTTTACGGGAGGGTGCCTTCCCCGCGATCCTAAAGGAGGCGGTGGTGAGGCCCCTCCTGAA